GTCATGCAGCCATAATTTCACGAAAGTTACTTGCAATATACAGCATAGTATATAGTGACAACAGCCATTAGATTAGTCTTCCCAGCAGACTTTAGAGATTGGTTTCGAAATTCAGAGAGGCCGGTTTCGAATGGTTCGTAAAAGAGACAATCTTCGTCTTACATGCAAAATCCCATAATCACGTTGCTTCGGTGCAACCAGCCGTCAAACAGGTGGCAAGTCGTTGAGCTGCGAACAAGAGGGACAAGATGGTGTTGGAGTATATTCTTATAAGAAAGGACAAGAGCACTGTTCATGCCGTCTGATGCCAGCATACGGGGCTGTAATATGCCTTGACCTACCTGATAGCTGCTTGCTCTTACTTTACTGCTGCTGTTGTTGTTGGAAGCAGAAATGAATTTTTTCAGCGATGAATAGTTTTCTGTTAGAGGGTCTGATAAATTCCCTAGTAAAAGTGGTAGATAACTTGCGTTATATTCATTATTTAAGGAGATAAACGCTAATAGTAAACAGAACAAGTTTTAAACTGAATAACATTGAAAATTTATGCTGAATATGAGCCAGGTACTAAATAAATTGACAATGTTTTTGCTGCCATGATTTCAGTTGCAATGGCAATATTATCAAGCACAGCAAAGGTATTTACTCTCTTCAGCTCTTTAAATGCAAAACAGCGGTCTTCTTCAAGGTTAAACAATATTAAATAGCCCGTTGTTGTATGGCCGAAGACTTGGATGCATCCTTCTCTCTTAAATGCCCCTTTCACTAGTAGGGTTTGTCGAAGTTTAAGGTAATTTTCTTGGTACCGTTCTTCCTGCCAACACTACAACCGAGTACAGTAACGAAAAGGGTATAAGAAAGCAAAAATGACATGATGAAATATCTGTGTTTTATACTTCTTTGAAATCTGTCTGTCAAGAGGAGACGGTCACTGATCGCACTATTCTTTCATAAACCACAGAGCTGCAAAAATAGATCTGATTCCATCTGCTAAGAATGCCTTATTTCAGAAGACAAAATTTCAGCAATAAGACAAACAAGCATATATCCTGAAGGATGAAGGAAAACCACACTCAAAGTTCCTCGATCACCAATTTCTTATTCACTTTGTCCCGATGTATTCAAGAGTATTATATCATTACTTCACTGTTCATCAGTCTGCCTATAAAGAAGACAATTTTACAATGCTTTAAAACGATGTCTGACATCTGACTGCAGACGTTTCGTTCTGAAATCACCGGGTACCGTTACTGCGTCTCTGCGAAACATCCTACACAGTAGCATCGTGGTAAGTAATGAAGAGTAGAATGCAAAACATTATGCTGCAGCTAATGCGTGGCCGATGCTCGTCAGACGAATATCCTCTACATTAATTCGAACATTTGATCGCTAAGCCTTGTTTAATGATACGCATATTTTTGTGGCTGGATGAAGGATTCTCCAAGACTTTGCCGCAGATTTCCGTTTTCTGCCATTTTCATTCATTATTTTCCAACGAACTTCTTCAACTCACCCTACCACTGATCTGGAGATCTTCCTAAGGGTCGGTTACTTTTTTTTGCAAGCCAATTTAATGTCCCTATGGTACAGCAATGGTCGCTGTACTTGAAACTTCTTCATTCAGAAAATGATATCGCAGACTCTTGTTTGTGCTCTTACCCATTCAGCCATCTTCGTATCTTTTCATGTTGATCTCTCCATGCTGCACTGCGTAACCTGCAGTTTATTAATAGCCATTTTTGATAACCGTTGGGATATCGATCAC